GGAAAACAGAATCATCATGCAACACTTGAGCTAGTCTTAGAGGCCAGACTAGGAATACTTCTTACCGTTTATTATTCCACACGTGCATATGAGTCTTCCTTCGAGCCTCGTGTTATTGCAAACTCTAGAACCATAGCAGTTATAGCATGGAACATAAATATAATTATGAACATGGAGATAAGTAATAGCATTTATTATTGCCTCTAGGGCATATCTCCTACACATGCTAGATGCCAAAAAAGCTTGGATCTGCCAGTCACCTCCACCCCAAGGCACCACACTTCCACGACGATTTCTCCTGATGACGTCTCCAAGGAGAACACGACGCGCACGTCTACATCGCCACCCAATCCACATGGATTATGAGATTTCCCTCGGGAAAGTGGCCGGCAGTGGGGAGGCAGGATCCTCAACAGCGCCTTAAGGGAGGAAAGCGACCCTCTTGGGCGTCGCCGCTGTCATGACCGAATGAGACGATCAAGGGTTTCTGCCAACATCTCCACGCCAAAGAGAGAGAGCCTGGACCAGAGGTCGTTACCTGCTAGAGATGAGGAGGAATAGTGACCAAAGAGAGAGGGGGGGGGGTGGAAACTGGACCTGTAGATTTGGATTTGAAACCTAAGTGGCATTGGCACCTCGACCTCCACCCATTGATACCTCGGCGCGCCCCCACGGTCGAGGGATCCGGCCATCAGCACCTACGAGTGTCAACCACTGAAAGTCATCGCCGCCACGCCACATGGGACCACCATCTAGCGACTGAGTCCTCCGACAAGGGAAGGAGCGACAAAGATCTCGCCGCCACCTTCGTGGGCGACTACGCCGGCAGAGCCGGCGTTTGCCTCTGGCGGCGGCACGGTATTGGGGGAGGGTGGGTGGCGGCGGGGCTGGTAACCCTAGTTGCCCCCAAGTCGCCCTCGGGAGGACGACACGAGGAAGGGGGAAAACTCACTAGAACCTATATAATTCAGGTCCTGCCACATCACTACGACATCGCTGCCTTGCCATCAAAATAAGGGATGGCCGCCTTAGGGACTTGACTAAGAACTTGCCAGACAAGGACTGTGGTCAGAGAAGAGTGTAGGGTGGCTCTGAGAGGGTAGGGAACAAGGCAGTGAGCTCCTACCAGTTCGCCAGCTCTATAGGGGACATGACCGGATGGAACCCAAGGCCCCATTTTTTGTGTGGCAATTATTGAGGGATCGCCTCCCATCGGGGACGGAGGTGCTCAAGAGGAATGGCTCGGGTAATGGGTTATGTCCCCTTTGTGGTGTACTAGAGATGGGGACCCACATCCTCTTCTCTTGCAATGGCGGCTCACGCACTTTCGATTTTCGTCCAGGAGGCACTCGGGCTTGATTGAGAGGCTCCGGACTTAGCCGGAGTTCTTCAGACCAGAGCTCTAGACCGATAGAAAGAGACGCCTCTTTTGGCTAGTGTTTGCGGCGTTAGATTGGACGCTTTGGACAACACGAAATAAGATGATAATCGAGCAGGTCTTCCTTCAGCGGGCCACTGACTCGATCTTCAAATTTCTTACGTTCTTGCAGCACCGGCACCGGCTGGCTAGGCAGCAGGACCGCGGCCGGCTGGGGCGGATGTTCGATGCGCTACAAGTCACCGCTCGGTGTCTCTCTTCATTGTAGACCCCCTGATGTTGTGGCTACTTGGTGGTCTTTTTTCTATCTTTTTATATTACTTTATTTGGGCGTGCTTGTGTTGATGCCTTAGCAGACTATTTTATCTCGATGACCTGCTACTTGTTGTATGGACCAGTTGATTGGAAATTGGCAATGGCTCCTAGGTGCATATGCACTTATTTTGTAAATACACATTTTGAAAAGTTGAAAATTCCGAACAAAAATCTCGCGTGTATATCCAGACATTCTATTTGTGTGCGCAAAGTTTTCGGCGAAAAATGAGGTTTTTTATGGCTTGTGTAAAAAAACAATTTCCGATGCTTCATTACAACTATTTGTTTTGCATTTCTTTATTTTTTTTACACAAGCCACAAAAGACGTCGGTTTTCACCGAAACTTTGTGTATGCACATAGAATGTCCGGATATACCCACGGGATTTTTGTTCCGATTTTTGCAACTTTTCAAAATGTGTATTGAGAGAATGGGTGCATATGCACCTAGGAGCCAAAACACCGCGTCCGATTGCTTTATTTATAAAGCGGAGCAGAAGCGTATTTCAAGAACTTTTAATAGTGAGAAAGTCGTATACATTTTCTGAAACCAAGGAAGAAAACTTTGCCTCGATAAAAGTAAGTATAATAAGATACAGTCAACAAGCTGTAAGAATTAACTATTATATTTCTGCTGAGTTGGATAAGACAGAAGAAGAGAGAGAAGGCAAGCGGGCGGTAGATTAACATCCGGTTGAAACACGGACTCCAAGAAACATTATGAGGCCATGCATTAATAAAGTACTACTACTCCCTTCGGTCCTTTTTACTCTGCATATAAGGATTGTCTGAAGTCAAACTTCGTAAAGTTCAACCATATTTATATGAAAAATATTAACATTTATAATGCTAAATTTATACAATATCAAAAGTAAAGTTATGACGCATCTAATGTTGTTGATTTCACATTTTGAATATTTGTATTTTTTTCTATAAATTTGGTCAAAGTTTATGAGGTTGACTTCAGACAAATCTTATATGCGAACTAAAAAGGGCCGGAGGGAGTACTTAGCAACTACTCTCCCTACCCATAATATAAGATCAAGTACGATAATGGGCTTATAGCCTGCTTACATGCGACTTTTTGCCTATATAGAGGAGAGAGACATGAAAAAATGGTGGGAGTGGACTCTCATACAAGAGCCTAGCTATATGCGTACTTCTAGGCAAATGCAATAAATACAAAGAAAAAGTAGAGAGAAGGTGAAAAAGTAGTACTTTTATATCCAACTTTATAGCTAACCTTATTGTATGAGTGACTATAAGTGATGACTATATATGACATGACAACGTTATATAGCCAGCAGCCAGCTATACTATTAGTCATGCTCTAAGAGCGTTTTTGACAATAATATAGTGTAAAAATTGTTCTTATATTATGGGACAAAAGGAGTAGTTACTACACATGTTAGCTATTAGATTGACTATACGTGACGTGACAACTTTATATAGCCAGTTGTTGGCTCGAAAATCCAATTCGGTGCCCGGGTCCAGATGAACCCGGAGAACAATAACATGATAAAAATAGAAAATAAAATCAATTTTTTCTTGGAAAATGTTTGAGTGCATGATGTGCGTGCAAAATTTCATTCTATTTGGACATTTGTAGAGCTTGTGGCGAAAAAAGAGAAAACCGGTCAAAACAATGCGTGAACAATAACCTTACTCACAGAGCTGAATTCTATCTTTTTTGTCACGCGCTCCTCAAATGTCAAAACTCCACCGAAGTATGCACGAACATCATGCACAGATTCAGAATTTTTTGATCTTTTTTCTATATTTTGTGGTTTAATTGATTTTGCTCGGGCTCATCCAATTCCGGGCGCTAAAACGTCGCTTTTGTTGTTAGCTATATTATTAACCATGCAGAGAGGCTACTCTGGCAACAAGTGGCCTCAAGATGCTTTGCACCTCGATCTCGGTCTTTATCTTTTCTATGAGAACGGTGTGCAAGTAGAATAGATAGAAATAAACAGGAGCAAGCTGAACTGGCATTTAGCTGGCGAACATACTCTATCGTGGCCTCGTGGGCTCGTCGCTCCATGTTACATGTTACGATAAAGTCAGAGGTTTCATCAGTTAGCTATTATGTGACAGACAGAGTCTACGGCATTATTCAAAACCCTATGGTAATTACAATAAAGTAGCTCGAACGTTCGCCGTGCTAGTGGAGTCCTAAAATAAATCCTCAGCTGCCACCTACCCGTATATGATACTAGACAGTCTCCGGCATTATTCAGCACTACGACAGAGCATCCGATACCCTTCAAGTCGTCGTGGAAGTTAGGAAACAGACTCTTACTCCGTTTTACAGATAAAGCACAAATCAAAATACATGACAACCGATACAATGTAGTAAGAAAGTTCTCCCACATCCCAGGATACCAGAGAACAAAAATCATTCTGAAAAATGCAAAGGTGAAAAGCAAAAATGACTATGTTGTCGAAAGATAGTAAAGGAGGGCCCAAAGAATCGGCATGACTCGTGCTAGGATACCTAACCTCCACGACAATACCCTTAAAAAGGAAGACGGTATGAAGCGCCGCCGCTATCGAGTCCGAGATGAATAAGGGTTTCACTCAAAACTCTGCCATAGAGAGGACAACCACAATAATGTCCTCAATAGAAGAGTGACACGCGTAGGCGACGTCACCATCGACGGCAAAGTACGAAGCTTTCACTCAGCTCACTTGTACGACCACGAGACATCTAGGACATCTGCAACCGAGGGCATGTACAATGGTGACATATGGACACAGATGCCCCATGACAAAAAGTAATTTGAAGCACCTACATTTATTTTTCTCTTCAATGCAAGCTACCACTATTGGACCTCATTACAAATATAAAAAATAAAGACTTCAGTACATATGCATCTCTATTTTTCACTCCAACTTTTTTAACTTTTGACACCGAATCACACTTTTTCTCTTCAAGCACCCACCTCCTGCAAAGGATCCCGCTTCCCTATACGAAGCTATTTTATCTGATATCTGATCCTACATGACATGTGAGGCATCACCCTGAGTGCAGAGCTTGGGGTCGTCGTGCAACTTTGATGATGCAGCTTTGGCGTCCTAATCCACCTACCATCCCACCGGTGGACATGTTACTCTCGCATGCATGTGGCTTTCAAGTTTCGACCAGATCCCGATTAGCAACAATGTCAACCTCCATATATACAAATGGTTTCGAAATTGTAGTGGCTCCGCACCAACCCCCACCTCTATAAGTTTCCTCGATCCCACTAATCCATCCATCCATTCCACTGCAGCAACCCATACACAGCCACACGCAAGTACACAATGATGGACGTCAGCCTCCTGGAGAAGGCCCTCCTGGGCCTCTTCGTGGCGGCAATGCTCGCCATTGCCGTCGCAAAGCTGACCGGCAAGCGCTTCCGGCTGCCCCCGGGGCCCTCCGGCGCCCCCATCGTGGGCAACTGGCTCCAGGTGGGCGATGACCTCAACCACCGCAACCTCATGGGCATGGCCAAGCGTTTCGGCGAGGTGTTCCTGCTCCGGATGGGCGTCCGCAACCTGGTGGTCGTCTCCAGCCCCGAGCTCGCCAAGGAGGTCCTCCACACCCAGGGAGTCGAGTTTGGCTCCCGCACCCGCAACGTCGTATTCGACATCTTCACCGGCAAAGGCCAGGTAATAAATCAGTTCGTTGAATTTACAGTTCTTGCATATACATACTAGTTCTTGATAGGTACTAATGACTGGTTTCTAGTAGTGTAATTTCAATGTTTTTTTTTTATTTTCATTAACTTCTGTACGCATTGAAATAATTACCTTTAGGTCCAAATATTCAGCAATTTCAGCAGTACACACAAATTCAAAAAATAAAATACAATCAAGTTCAAATAGAAATTCGATCCGTTGGCCGAAATAAAAACCGAAATCAGTATATTTCAGTGAAATCCGGTAATCTCGACAATGACTGAAATATTTCTGAAACTGAAATTCAAAACCATATTACAAACACAAAAATGCGTGCATTCATGCAGGACATGGTGTTCACCGTGTATGGCGACCACTGGCGCAAGATGCGCCGGATCATGACGGTGCCCTTCTTCACCAACAAGGTGGTGGCGCAGAACCGCGTCGGGTGGGAGGAGGAGGCCCGGCTGGTGGTGGAGGACCTCAAGGCCGACCCGGCGTCGGCGACGGGGGTGGTGATCCGCCGCAGGCTACAGCTCATGATGTACAACGACATGTTCCGCATCATGTTCGACCGCCGGTTCGAGAGCCTCGCCGACCCGCTCTTCAACAAGCTTAGGGCGCTCAACGCGGAGCGGAGCATGCTCTCCCAGAGCTTCGACTACAACTACGGCGACTTCATCCCCATCCTCCGCCCCTTCCTCCGCGGCTACCTCAACCGCTGCACCAACCTCAAGTCCAAGAGGATGAAAGTCTTCGAGGACCACTTCGTCCAAGAGCGCAAGTAAGCTTACTTAATTGCCTCTTACATTTATAATTCGATGGATCGTGTGTCGATCGATGCTTGCCAGGACATGTTAATGTTAATCGATGTTGCATCAATAAAGCAAGCACGTACGCGCCAAGTGGGACATGTTAATTCCGTTTGCATCTATCAGCTTCGATTTCTTTAGGAGTACCTATCCCGCATCGGTTGCCTGGATACATTGGTGTTGGCGGTCGTTGACCAGCTGCAGTGCATCAGTGACCACGTGAGAGTAGCTAGGGTTCATTTTCACGTGGTGACAATAGAATACATACACCGACAGTGGAGGTACATATATAGGTGTTCTTTTTGCGAGAGAAGTACATACATAGGTTGATGGAAGTACACCAACAGATCACCAGCTGCAGTGACCACGTGAGAGTGGCTAGGATTCGGTATCACGAGGTGACAATACAATACATACACCGACAGTGGAAGTACATATGTAGGTTGATGAAAGTACACCAACAGATCAGCAGATTTTTCTTTCATTCAATTAAAAGTGAACCGGGTTCCACTATCAGATACTCCCTCTGTTCCTAAATGTAAGCCTTTTTAGAGATTCTAATATAGACTACATATGAAGCAAAATAAGTGAATCTACATTCTAAAATATATCTATATACATCTGTATGTAGTCTATATTGAAATCTCTAAAAAACTTACATTTAGGAACGGAGGGAGTATAACGGAGGTCACCAGATATGCAACGGGGAAATTGATAAGCATCTACTGCATTATCTCACAATTGCAGGAAGGCGTTGGAGAAGAACGGTGAGATCAGATGCGCCATGGACCACATCCTCGAGGCCGAAAGGAAGGGCGAGATCAACCACGACAATGTCCTATACATCGTCGAGAACATCAACGTCGCTGGTAAAACTCAGAATTAAGCAAATATAATTAACATGTATACATCTTTCTGTCCCACCTAGTTTTGACTTTTGAGAGAAGAAAAACGCTCTACCAAACATTTATTAAGAAGATAATATAGACCATTTCTTTGATTACAAAAAGTAGCACGCGCTATTGCAATTTAGTAGTATATCTTAAGACAATACGACATCTTCCATGTAACCCACGTGTTGCCGGTAAAATTCATCAATTAAATGTGTATTCATCTTTTGTCCAACCTAGTTTTGACTTTTGAGAAGAAGAAAATGCTCCAATTAACATTTTATTGGAAAGAGTGCAGACCCTTTCTTTGTTAATAAAAACTAGCACACACGATTGCAATTTTTATCTCAAGACAATACAACGAGAGATGGTGATGAGCAGCTGGCGAAGAGCCACTATTATTCCTTGAACACGCGGAGAGCCTAAATAGTTGTCGGTGCAACAACTTTTGGTGTATTTCATGATGAATTTATTAATAATACCTCTGTCCTGATTTATTAATCCTCCATGTAGTTTGAGTCAAACTTTGACATTTGATTTAACTATCATAAAATAAGTTATATATCCTAAAAATAGTATCATTGAAAACCTCTTTCAAATATGAATCCAACAATATAAATTTTATTACATACAACTTATATTTTATTAATTAAATATACGGTCAAAGTTAGTCACAAAATACGAAGGGGGCCAATAAACCTAAACAGAGTAGTACTGAGTTGGTATGGCACGTAGACATTAATATATTTCTCAATAAACTCGGTTAATAGTAGAGAAGTTTGACTTTCGAAAAAACATTTTCAATGGAGAGAGTAGTAATTAATTTAGCACAAATATTAACAAGGGAATGAGTCTTTTGCATACATGCAGCAATCGAGACGACCCTGTGGTCGATCGAGTGGGGAGTTGCGGAGCTGGTGAACCACCCGGACATCCAATCAAAGCTCCGCCAGGAGATCGCCGCCGTGCTAGGCCCCGATGCAGCGGTGACGGAGCCGGACCTGGAGCGGCTCCCCTACCTGCAAGCCGTCGTCAAGGAGACTCTCCGCCTCCGCATGGCCATCCCGCTCCTCGTGCCACACATGAACCTCAAGGACGCCAAGCTCGCCGGCTACGACATCCCCGCCGAGTCCAAGATCCTCGTCAACGCCTGGTTCCTCGCCAACGACCCCAAGCGCTGGGTGCGCGCCGACGAGTTCCGGCCGGAGCGGTTCCTCGAGGAGGAGAGGGCCGTCGAGGCCAACGGTAACGACTTCCGGTTCGTGCCCTTCGGCGTCGGCCGGAGGAGCTGCCCGGGGATCATCCTCGCGCTGCCCATCATCGGCATCACGCTCGGCCGCCTGGTGCAGAACTTCCAGCTGCTGCCACCGCTGGGGCAGGAGAAGATTGATACCACGGAGAAGCCCGGACAGTTCAGCAACCAGATCCGCAACCACGCCACCGTCGTCTGCAAGCCACTCAAGGCTTAGAAGAATTTACGATCCGACGAACTAGACGGCAGATCCGCTGGAATGCGTGCACGTGTTTGTATAAGAATTTTGCAGTATCTGTAATAAGTTTGACCTTTCTTGGTGAGTTCGGTTGTTTTTCTTCATGTGAAGGCGTTGGGTTGTTGATTTGCAAAAACTTGGTAACGTTGATGTAAAACTTTTTGGCTCCAAATTCACATTATTAATTACTCAATTCGTAAACGCGGGCACAGTCAGTTGGCATGAAACTAGTCCGAGCCAATCAACTCGTCGGTGATCATTTTCGACAGTGTTGTAGGGAGGTAGCTAGCTGATTTTTTGGAGGGGCCAACAATTGACGGATGGCAATGTCTGCACTCAAGAGACAAGGACGATCTACGTATTGTCGGGCCCTTTTGGAGGAGGTAACACCCTACCATTAGAGGAGGTAACACCCTACCCTTAGGTGAGGAACCCTAGGTCTCAATTGGTGAAGCGTTATGCTGAATCATATTATTTACGAGAGGCCCTAAACTGCTGAAAGCAGCGATCACTAGTAGAAAAAGGGTCTAATGTAAAACTCATTAGTCCTGGTTTGTAATTGAACCGGCACTAATGTAATCATTAGTGCCGGTTCCAACAGCTAGGCGTGCGACACTTATTAGTACCGGTTCGTGCCACGAACCGGTACTAAAGAGGTGGTGGCCTTTAGTACGGCTTGGTAGCTCCAACCGGTACTAAAGGGGGGGGGGTCTTTAATACCGGTTGGAGCCACCAACCGGTACTAAAGGTGGTGCGCTGCCACCCACAGTGCATAATGTTTAGTCCCACCTCGCTAGTTGAGAGGAGCTCGCACCGGTTTATAAGCCTCGCCGCGGCTACCGTGTCGAGCTCCTCCCTAAGCAGGTCTTTGTGGGCCTATTGCAAGTCTTCTGCCCCGTGGGGCCTACTGGGCCATACGGGCCTGCATCCTGGCCCAACTAGAGATTGGATTTCTAGTCGTATGCAGGCCGTGCCGGTCCAGTAGACGGGCTGTTTTTTCTTTATTTCAAAAATTAAAAAAATCCTTACCAACCGGGACTAAAGGTCCCTCAGACCACGGCACGCCTCGTGCCACGTGGTGGGCCTTTGGTTCCGGTTCGTGTTGAACCGGGACTAAAGGGAGGGACCTTTAGTCCCCACTCTTTAGTGCCGGTTCCAGAAGCTGTACTAAAGGTCCTTAAAAACCGGTACTAAAAGTCGTTTTTCTACTAGTGGATATGGCTCATACAACTATATGATCCTATTATCTACACCACACATCAACCTTGTCTGGCAGCCCGCCAGCGCATTGAATGTTCATATGTGAGTTTTCGAAAGTGCGGTATTTTGGCTGGGGCGTATGAATATCCGGTAATTTTTTTTGGAAATGGAGGCATACCCCCGGCCTCTGCATCATAATAATGCATGCAGTCATCTTATTAAAATTTCGTAAAATAGCACAAAGTCCTCAAAGTATTACAACTTGTAAGTGGAGCGAAAATAAAAAAAATCAAAGTTCATGCCAACAATCAAAACCGAAATGGCAATAAGAAGGATAAGCTCTCTAGACGCCTATTCTGTTATGCGACCGCCATCCAAACCGGTTGAATAAAGCCCGTGCTACCATCTTCCATTGGTTGCATCCAGTAACCAAAGACTCCCTGAATTCCATAGGAGTGAGTAAGGACCACGTACAGATCCAAGCAGTAGCTCTGAAGATAACCTGCAAGAAAGTTAAATTGTTTTGTCTGTTAAATATCAAGTCATTCCTGCAATTCCATATAGCCCACAAAAGTGCACATATTCCAATCCAAATACAAGCCGCCGTAGTATGTTCAACCCTAGTTAACCACGTTCCAAAACAACGCTGTAATGTCAACTGGAGGAGTAATGTTAAAGGCTATATGAATCGTTCTCTAAAGTAATTTGGCGAGTGGGCATTCAAGAAATAAATGTTGTATTGTTTCATCATGATCACAAAAACAACATCGTGGACTACCTACCCATCTCCTCTTGATTAAGTTGTCCTTCGTAAGAATTACTTGTTTGTGGACAAACCACATAGAGATTTTAATACGCAAAGGAACCTTAATCTTTCAAATATGCAGTGATCTCGAGATTGGGCCAGAATTAACCAGATCCATATAAAAAGATTTTACCGTAAAAACCCCATTCTTAGATACTTTTCATTGTGTCGAATCCGGCTGGTCGGAGAGTTGAACATCTATCAATCTCCGAACCAAGTGCATCCATGCAGTCCAAGGCTCACCAACTAACGCCCGTCTGAACTGGATATTCAATGGACTCGTATGTAGAAATGTGCCTACGTAATCCTCCTTACGTTGCACTATGTTATACAGGTTGGGATACTGTACGGCCAGGGGCGTCTCTCCTAACCATGTATCCTCCCAAAACCATGTTGACATCCCATTGCCAACTAGGAATTTGACCCTACGAAAGAACAAGTCCTTCACTCTCATAAGCCCTTTCCAGAATGGCGAGTCGGTTGGTCTCATGGTAACCTGAGCGAGTGTTTTCGACTGTAGATACTTATTACACAAAATATGTGCACACATGCCCTCCGGCTCAGTCTCTAACCGGTGAAGCCATTTGCTCATAAGGTATTTGTTCTTGATTTTTAAATTCTCAATATCGAGCCCACCTTGGTCTTTTTGGCGACAAAGAATATCCCATCGCGTGAGATGGTATTTCCTCTTGGCCTCATCTGACTGCCAGAAGAATCGAGATCTGAAGAAATCAAGTCGTTTCCGTACCCCTTTTGGAATTTCGAAGAACGATAATAGGAAAATCGGCATACTAGTCAATACTGAGTTAATCAGCACTAGCCGGCATCCATAAGACATAAGCTTACGCTTCCAGCAGCTTAGCTTTTTTTTTTCTATTCGATCTTCGATACATTTCCATTCTTTATTAGATAGCTTATGGTGATGGATCGGTATGCACAAATAACTAAATGGTAAAGATCCCAATTCACATCCAAACAATTTTCTATATGTATCTTGTTCGTCTTTGGCCTTCCCAAAGTAGAACAACTCACTTTTGTGGAATTTATCTTACCAAAAAAGGCTTTCGCCCCGCTTTATATTATAAAGCAACTGCCCAAGCCAAACATCCAACAAGGTTCACACACACACATAAGTCTCACACAGAGGAGAATCCAAGGGTTAGTGCTGAGGGCACAACTCAACAAGCCCTGAAAACCAGAAAAAAACATGCACACACGGGGCGCATAAGAGCAACTCGTCGGGCTCGGGGGGGGGGGAGCAAGGGCGTCAAGCGGAAGGCCATCGATCGAAGGTCGGCGAGGAGAGTGTTGATGGCGTCCCGGTCCTGGGGGCGGCTAAGCGGCCGCCAAAGCTGCAAGTAACCACACATTTTAAAGATTGCGTCAGTAGCACGTCGAAGAGGCACCTTCTGGATGACAAGCTTATTGCGAACGGTCCAAAGCGTCCAGGCAAGGACCCCAACGCATAACCATCTAATATGGCGGTAGCGGGGAGGGGAGGCGTGGATTTCCGCAAGCAGGTCAGGGAAGTTGGTGTTGCACCACTGGCCATCGACAGTCTCACGGAAATAGGACCATAGAAACTGGGCCGTGGAGCAAGAGAAGAAGATGTGGTTAGCACCCTCCACCATGCCGCACAAAGGACAAATCCCATCTCCAGGTCCATTACGCTTAAGGACCTCCACCCCGGACGGGAGGCGGCCGCGGATCCATTGCCATAGAAAGATCCTGATTTTCATGGGCAAGCGAATATCCCAAAGCAAACTAAAGGGCCCGGAGGCCGTCGAGGAGGTGATGGCCGCGTAGAGGGATTTGGTGGAGAAGAAGCCGGAGGGCTCCAGTCGCCAAGATATGCCGTCAGGGGTGTCGACGACGTTCATCGGGAGGAGGGCGATGTCCTGGAGGAGGGCATCCCAAGTGGCCACTTCAGGTGGGCCAAAGGGGCGACGGAAGGTGAGGCGCCCTAAGTCAATAAGGGCCGCCTCGACAGAGACCCGAGGATCCACCGCAACAGCGAAGAGCTCCAGAAATGACGCGACCAAGGGGAGGTTGTCGATCCACCGATCAAACCAGAACAGGGTCGAGGATCCAGTACCAACCGAGATGGACGTGCCAATGCGGAGTACAGGTAGCAGCTGGATGATGGCCTGCCATAATTGGGAGCCACCAGAGCGCTGACAGAATGCGAGTGGCTGGCCCCGAAGGTACTTGTTCCGGATGATGGTGAGCTAAAGGCCTCCATCGCCATTGGCAATGCGCCAGAGCCAACAGGTCAGGAGGGCAATGTTCATGCGCCGGGAGGACAAAATCCCAAGACCGCCATGGTCCTTGGGTTTGCAAATATCGGGCCAGCTCACCATATGGTACTTCTGCTTATCACCCTCACCAGCCCAGAAGAATCTGGATTGGTACTTGGCGATTTCCTGATGTAGCGTCTCATGCAGGCTATAGAAGCTCATGAGGAACCAGAGAAGGCTGGCAAGCGAGGAGTTGATGAGGATCACATGAGCTGCCTTCGACAACCAGCGCCCTTTCGAGGGCTCAACCCGATGTTGCATCCGGGTCACCGTGGGGTGAAGGTCCGCCATGGTGAGGCGCGAATCACTAATGGGGATCCCCAGGTAGGTCCTGGGGAAAGAACCCAACCGACAATTCAGTCGGTCTGCAATAGCCCGTGCTTCATCCAGGGAATACCCAAGAACCATCACTTCGCTCTTATCGAAGTTGATAGTTAGCCCTGACATCTGTTGGAAGCACAGGAGGAGGAACTTCAGGTTAGCAATGTCCTGAACTGTGCCCTCCACCATTATTATGGTATTATCCGTATATTGCAGGAGGGAGACCCCTCCCCCTCCGACTAGATGGGGGACGATGCCGCGAATATGGCCGGCAACTTTGGCCTTGTCAAGGATGGTGGCAAGGGCATTAACCACCATGTTGAACAGGAACGGCGAGAACGGGTCACCCTGACGGT